TAACTATACTTTCACTAATATTTTCTGAGACCAACTATAGTCAAATTGCTGCATAGCCTTATTTTCCATTTTCTTCACACATTTCCGTAACACACTCACTCCAGCAGTATTTAACATTATCACTCCCAGCAGACAAGGTTGGTTGTATAACGTCTTACTTGTCAAGAACCCGTTACTTGAAAGGAAGACCTCTCCTGTCTGCACAGCAGATTTGTAGGTGGAGAAAAGGAGCCTTGCTGTGAGAAGAGTGGCAGGCACCAATAAATACCTCAGGAAGAACAGAGCAGAAAATGCATGAGGCGTCCTTCACTTAGAAATGACAGAGTACTGTTCTTCTGCATATAGTTTCAACTAATTTGTTGTAGAAAGACTGCTTATACAGCTCCCACGAGGGCAGGAACTTAACTGTTGGCAAATCTACTCAGGACTCATGCTATCACTCATAGGAGATGTATTTCCAGCCCTGCTTAACAGCCGAAGAAGTAAGATGCAAAGGTTACGTCAATACAACACTTAAAAGGCAATCCTCAGAAAGATCAGCAGAATAGGGCTCTGCAAGGAAAAGTGCCAAGGGCTACACTATAAATAGCATGTCTGGATATATCTACCCACGTCTTAACTTCACTCTGCCTTATTAGCTGCTGAACGTTCTTCTAAAATCCAGAGCTTGTTGGAAAAAATACCCAGAGCACAGCTGTTAATAATTCATTGCCAAGGCTCTACATGATATGTTCTCAGATCTGTTCTATTCACTACTTCAGTCAGTATCCTGGAGAATGGAACAAACAGAGATGCTTCTTTCATTCACAGGCAACATAAAGCTCAGAACAATATTCTCATCCCTTACAACAGACTACGGGTTCCAAAAGCCGTCCAGTATTTCAAAGGTAGATGTGTACGCAGAAACAAGCAATTTAAGTATTGTAATTACTATTGGAATGTGATACCTGAAACACTATTTGAGAAATTAGACATTTTCTTCAAAATTCTTGAAATAAATACAAGAACTAAACAAGTACATTGCATTAAACAAGTTGCACTGTTTTTGATGCTTTCTCCTCTGTTGTGTTTACATTACTGTTCAATGCATAAAGATTTCATTCTTACTGTGCACTGAGGCACTATTTCAAGCCAAATGATAAATGTGGAAACAGGTTGAAACATATTTTTACTGTGCTTTACTAGAACAGCTAAGAATGGAAAAACAGTGCTAAGCCAACAATAACTTTGGTTTCTGCACCTCTGCAGGAAAGAATACAGTCACACATCAACTGATACGAAACAGAACAGCCAGCTCTCCCTTCCCCTCAACATACATGCGTTTTTCTAGGTAAGTGCAACAGACTAAAGATACATGCCATTGTATCAGTTTGAATATTTTTGTTCTTCCATCTCGAAGTCCAAAAACTTGTATTTATTTCAGTAAGGGCAGAACTGGGAGCTGTGATCACTACACGGAAAAAGCAGCTCAGCAGAAGTTGCCTGTCAAAAACACAACCCTCCCCACCTTTCCACAGTGAGCAGGTGAATTTACTTGCTGGATGTCCAAGTTATTTTAAAATTAGTTGGTCCCTCTAAGCCTCTAAGATATTTGAGTCACATAGAAAAAAATTCACCTCCAATATCTGCTTTACACATTTTATACCTCAAGGTTCTTTCAAGTACCAAAACAGCAACTTCAGACAAAAGAATCCAAACCTTTAATCAAATCAGTAGACACCAAAATCAATAGTGTGCAAAAGAAAATATATTGCTGCTAACGCCTATGAATCAGAGCAATTTCAACTGTACACCCACATCTGATGTGGCACTTAAATATATTCTTTTGAGTTAATGTTACAGGAAATAAAACAGTAGATTTAATCACACTAGTTTAGATACACTCGTTTGCTATGTTCAGATTCAAAAGTAATATTTTTTTTTCACCCTCACTAATTCTTTACCATACACTGTTATTTTAAAAGGTAGAGCTCAAATCCTCTAGGCTGTCAGTGCAAACAGCAAACACAACCTTCAGAAGTAGTAGTTTTCCCACAGAGGAAACTTCAGGTAGTTTGGGGTGTAGCTACCCAGTCATCCTTGCTATGCAGCTGACCATAGGTGTCCATGCTTGAGCAGAGCACTGGGCCAGATGGCCACCACAGGTCCCTTTCCAACCTCAACCATACTGGGTTTCAGTGATCTGACATTTACAGGCAATACTGATGTAGACTGAATCAAACAAAAACAAACCATTCTTTTAAACCACCGTGCACTTGTTCCAAAAACGAGCCAAATGATTCTGTTCCATAAAGCACACTGGGCTACCACACATGCAAAATGTGCCACAGTGCTAAGCAAGAAGAATCTTGCTCCAGCACATTAACTTTGGAACAAGAATGAATTAGCACAGTTAATAACAGCTTGTACACAAACCTGTAGGCACATCTGCAGTTTTCTTCTGCTTTTTAAAAATCCCTAACCGGAAGAAATGACAACAATGTACTTAAATATCAAACAGTTTGGTACAAGCATGCAAGAAGATACAAATGGTCAGAGATAACAGTATTAAATGGACTGTATTTTAATTTCTTATACCACACCTACACCAAAACATACAAAAGCTCCCAACACGCTTGAAAGAATAAAATTACAGCAAACCTCTATGGTCCTCTCTCTTCTGTTTTTAAATTATAAGTCAAGGAGAGAACAGTTACTGCTAGGAGTATTAAAACCTGAGTTGTACCTTAGGTTCACCATCAAATTCCAGAGATAAATATACAAGGTAATCTTCAAAAAAAAAAAAAAGTGAACTGTAACCAGTCTACCTGGGAAAATAGAACCAAATACAATGACATAATAGAATTTTGCTGCTGAGAACACTATTCAAGAAAAGCATTTTTGAACACTAGGTGACTAAAAAGATGCGACTTTTACCTCAATTTATGTAAAAGTATGCCTCAAAAAATGTGAGTTATAACTCTATGACTTAAAAGTTGTAAACTGAGCATCTTTAAGAGCAAGTAGTGATTCTTCTAATATCCCCCATTCTAACAATAAGCAATTTAAAAGTAAATCCTTCAAGATATATTTTTGCTCACTAAATAACAATCTAGATCACATATTTCCAATGTCAACTTCCAAAGCTATACCATTCTTAAAGGTAATCTTTTCTCTTATATGAATAACAGTAATAGTTTGTCCTGTAGTATCATCTTTTTATTTAAATAGTTCCACTTCAAATTTATTCCGTGTTAGAGAGTTTATTTCATTATCAATACTGGAATCTGTTTGAAAATTAAGACAGATAATCTTGGCAATATTCACTATAATACATCACATTTTTGCAAGGTGTACATTTCTCCCATGAAAACATTTAAACATGTATGATGTATGCATACCTACTTGTCTATGCAAGACATTTTGTTGTACTTTTATGAGCTCTTGGACTATAAGTTAGTCATGTACTCTCTGAATCTTCACGGAACACCTTCTACATTTTAAATATATACATAGCTCTTTAAAACTTTCATCTTATCTCCAAAATTTGAAGGAAAAATAAGAACAAACCACTATTTAAGGGTAACCTACACAAAAACATCTCTCTGTTCTATCGCTACAGAACTAAAAGCAAGAAATTACGTTAAAAGTTTTCTATCACCTGCAAACGTCAGTCACTGCTTAATCAGTATTCTCATATCTTTGCTTTCTAACAGTTACAGCCTTAATACATTAGGTAGGACATTTGTCATAATGACTTCTCAAAGTTTGCTCAAATAAAATTTTTCCTTTCTAAGGACTCTAGCAGACTTGAAACATAAATATTGGTATGGCACTCAACTCAACCACCTTCCTTACCTCTTCTCTTTCCCCTCTCCTCTAAGCCTTATTTGTGCTTGAGATACTGTCACCACTGGTTTGAATGCAAGTTACAGTTACACGCACTCAGGCTAATTTGTTATCTCGATTAATTTCTGAATCATCTAAAAAGGATATCTCTTTCACAAATAAGTAATGCAAAAAGCAGAGGTTTATTGTATGGCATTATTCATATTCTTCTAGGTTACAAGAAGTATATCTTAACAGTGGCATTGCTAAACACACTGTCCACATAAACAGATTATTCTAATACTAATTTATTGCGACACACTAGAAAGATAGCAAAAGGTAGCTTGGGTTAAGACATTCCAGTCCTGTACACAACTCTACCTCTTACAAAGCAAAACATAATTTTTATGGTCAAGACTGAAGTTGGAACAGGCAGATAAAATCTGCTGAACTATGAGCAACCCGCCTCCGCCCTCTTGATTTCAGCTGTACCAAAGGTGCCCAAATTCTTTACTGGGGAACCAGAGGGGATTAATCCTTTAAGTACCTTGACAGATGAGATTGCATTTTCATGTAAAACACAGAAATTTGACAAAAAGTCAAAGAAAGATCTGGCTAAACTCAAGCATCATTCAAGCAGCAGCCCATGTTCACCTTCCTTCAATTTTCCCTCCTCCCTCAATTATGCTGCCCAGAGCTACAGCCATAGAGCAGCATGTCTGAGACAGTACGAAGAGACCTCACTCCTCCTCCTTAGAATTCATGGCACCACAGTCTTTCCAGCATCCGTCAATAGAGGTGAAGAAAAGACCAAGTTCTAAAAGTACACAGTGAGTTCAGAAAGGGAAAGAATGAAGAAGTGAAAAAGTAAATCATTCTCCCATGTAAGGGAGATAACTTTATTTGTACCATTTATGTGTGTGCCTCTAAGAACAGCATTACTCTCTTGTCCACACATTAATATTATGCTGCAAAAATTTAACCATTGGTTTTCCCTTTGAGAAAATCTAAACTATTATTTTTCCTTTTGGTAACAAAACGAAAAAGAGTAAAACATGAGTAAAAAATTCTGAAAAGGTACATACACCTCTGACATTACTGGACTGTCTAAAGGACCTCAAAGAAATATTTCTAACCTGAAAAGCAAAATGAATCAAAAATCACAATCTGAGGTCAGAAAAGGCCATACTTACTCTTTATTCCTGTTCTTAATGCACGACTGGTAGAGAACTTTAACAGCATTCCACATCCCTGACGGTCCACAGCTAGGAATGAAATTGTCACCAAACAGTGTAAAGACACTGTAGGAAGAGGAACTTCCTGAGGATTCCACCAGCAACGTGTCAGAATTTAAAAGCCATATCTATAAATAAAGAAAAATTATTTTACTGAGGATGACATCAATTTCTTCTTCTACTCTAAATCTGATGTACCATGAACAGCTGATACTAACACAATGTGACAGTTTCTAAGGAAGTGTCAAAAAAACAGCAAACTGACATTTTATTTTCACTATTACAAATCACAGCCCCTAGAGAAGAAAACCAGGAGTTAATACAGTTATTCACTATTAAGATCTCTTTCTCTCTAGTAGAGCACATCATTTTGAATGATTGCATGCTACAGACAGGGAACTGAAAGACTGCCCACTAGAAGTGGGAACAAGTAAGAAGTTTTACAAAACATTTACTTACGACTGGATAGAGCTAAGAAATACAATGAGAAAAATAGCAATTAAAACGGTCTATGGTAAGGCTGGTAGCAGGTGTATGACATGCCCAGTGAGGGAAAAAAAAACACTGGTAACAGGACACATAGCATATGTCATAATTGAATGTGACAATCACAGTTTAGAGATCAAAGTTCAGAATATCAGTGAAAATTTCACAAGTAAGTATAGAGATGAATGGATAAAGAAGTTTTGAGAGAGAACGATCAATTTAGCTTACACACGTAAATGATGACAAGCAACTGCACTTCATACTTAACAAGTAGCTGTTTATCAGTATTGCTCTTGTAACTCAAAGTACACATTCATTCATAAACTGAACGGCAAAATATACCTCACAGCTCAGGCTATTACACACAGTGCTTCAAGCTGCATGTTGAAAATGTTGGAGAAAATGGGGACAGAAGAGAAGCAACCTAAACACAAAGGCCATTACCACCACAATTAGCTTTAATTAAACAGCGTTTCTTAGATTTGAAATTAAGACCTCCTTTTTAAGAAGTCCCCTTTGGATGCTTTTTAGAAGGTGACTATCCTTACAATCAGTCTATGGAACAGTTGTACCTGTCAGAATTTTCCTGTATCTTTCTTTAGAGAAAGCAATTAATCCATTTAATTTTCAACATGAACTATGTGAAAAGTACTTCTATCAAAAGTGCTGATGTGTGATTTCTGACAGCAACTTCCTACCATTTATTCAAAGAACGTCGTTTTCTCAAGTGACACCACAGGTCTGTATTTGTTTTCCACTGTGGGCTAAATTACTATCAAATGAATCTTTAGAAGGGAAGAATAAACACTTTGCTATGAGGGAAAAAAAAGTATATTCTACAACTATCAACTATGAATAAATTATTTTCAAATCCTGCTTTTGGTGTGAATGAACAACCGCTCACTAAGCTGAGCGCAGTGACTCAAAGAAGCTTATACATGTTATTTGTGGCTAGCACAGCATGCAAATTTTCATCTGTGCTTTCAACCATTCTGTTGACAACAGACAATCTTTCTACTATTTTGTAGAAAAACAGTGCCTGCTGAACCAAATTCCTTTGACGTTAACTCCAGTAAGAAAAGAGCTTTCAAACAAAGATAGATAAAGTTTAGAATTTATTCATAATGCAGATTGATGACCTTTTCTCAAATGGCAGTTTCAGAGAAAGTATTTTCATGTTTTTTCCTTTTTAAATCATCCTGCCAGTAACTTTCAAAGATATTGTCAGGAAAAGAGGTGCAACAAATCTCAGTTATACCTGGTGGGACTTGATCCAAATAAGTAAAATACAGCAATCTACATTCCGCAAGTTTCCTAAAATCTCAACCTTTGTCTTCAGCTTCCCTTTGAGAACAATAAGGCATAAATTCTGATTTAACTAGATGGCTAGAAACAGCTGTTGTTCTTCCTCACTCACAGCTATTGCGGACATTACCACTACTTTTAGCATCACATGGGTTCATACTGTACATACACTCCATTACAACACCTCTGCCCTCACATTTAAACTAATGGATTAAATGTGGTCTTCTTCATACCTCACAGAGAATACAACTCGCTAAAAGAGATGGTTAGCTAAGTCTCAATAAGGTAGTCATCACATCTTGATTGTTGCAACATCCCCTTCTCTAGCCCTGATAAATACAAACTCATTCTGCTCAAGCCCTCAAAAGCACGATTGAAGAATCAGTATCTGACTGACAAGTCCCTCCCATTTGTCTCATTTCTTTTCTTGGGTAATCTTCCCACTCCCTTCCGACTCAGTGCCAAAATACAAGCTAACTTACCTAATCCTACTTCAAAGAACAACTTCATTAAGACTGGAGTTAGTACTCAACTACCCAGGACCCTACCATAAAATTTTCACACTGTACCTTTTGGAATTTTATTAGGTGAATCCCATCTAGGAGATGATACAGACAGGATAAGTAAAGATTTGCCTGAGCCAGATTTTAGTCTTTTTTAGTTTTATTTATTCTCAGTCTTTAAAAAAAATCCTTAAGTACACAGCTTTCAAAAACTTGGTTATCACCAAGTTATCACCAATTTAAACAGAAACTCAAGTTATGATATCCTTAGATAACGTAACTGTATAATGTTAAGTGATATACACAGAGAAAGTAAGAACACTGAGTATATATATAAACTTGTGCTTTAAAAAACATTTCAAAAAAAGACTTCTGAAGGACCTCAACCTTAATTATTAAATACACAGCCTAGGCTGTGTACATTCAGGTATATAAGCACAAACATCACAAATGGAAATCTTTGACAAGTTCATTTTCAATACAAACAAGTGGAACAGCTGGCCCACTATACATCAGTGATGAGACCACAGCCCTAAGCAGTTACTTTTTTTTTTCTTTTTAATTTGCAAACATCAGTATAAACACTGCTCACATTACATTTGTATCCACAAAGTCTCTGAGTCTCAAAACTTAAGCTGTACCTCTGGAACACCTGTTGGTGTGTGTACTGTTCCCAGAGTATCAGCATGGAAATGAACAATGCCTTTTTGATGTTCAAAACACACACACACACGAAGGCATTCCAATTAGAAGCTAGTCCCTATGTTAACTCAACCTCATACTGATTATTAATGAGCATTAAAATGCTAAGCTGGCCCCTATTATTAAACTCCAGACTCAAATCCCCATCCACCTTAAAAGTTTGAAGAATTTAGCTGTTACTATCTAAATAGGAAAGCTTAACAGCATTAAATCATCAAGTATAATCGGAAATATTACTATTGTTTGCATTTCACTTTCCAATGCAATATATTGACTACATGAATAATTTCTCCTGATCTAAGAAAGTATTTGTGAAAGATGCCATACAATTTGATGAATTTGTAGCAATTAAAAACAGCAAACACTGGAACAAAAAGATGAGATCTATTCTACAAAGCCAAGATCTAAGCTTTCCATATATTTTACTAGAAATTCTAGTTAGTTCTTTGTTCTGGTTTTGACTGGGATAGGGTTAATTTTCTCCATAGTAGCTAGTACAGTGCTATGTTCCAGATTTAGGCAGTATCACAGTGATGTTTTCATTGTTGCTGAGCAATGCCTACACACAACAAGGACATACCTTCTTCCCATGTTGCCCTCGTAGCAAGGAGACTGGGATGCACAAAGTGCTGTGAGGGGACACAGCCAGGACAGCTCATCTGAACTGGCCACAGGGCGTCATGCACAGGAACAAAAGACAGGGGAAAGGAGGCAGGAAAGTGCCATTGGGAGTAATGGTGTTTATATTCCCAAGAAACTGCTACATATGATGAGCCCTGCCTTCCTAGAACTGGCTGAATACCAGCCTGCTGATTGAAAGTACTAAATGGATTCCCTTTTTTGCCTTGCTTACAGTCACAGCTTTTGCTTTACCTAGCAAACTTTTTTCAAGATAAAAAACTTACCAGAATATAGATCCTTCCATTGTCACCTTTTATAGTGAATCTAAATGTGCTTTTAGCAGAGGACAATTCCACAAGACACTGAGCAACCATGCTCTGTATGAATTGAGACCTGTTAAAGAATTAAACACATTGTACATTTTAATGGCAACTACACAGGTAAGGTCATTCATACCAATGCAGTGCAAGTATGAGCAACTTCATACCGTCAATTCCACTACAATCTTACTATTTATTTTTACAAAGAAATTGAGTTTCTTTATCTTTGCCTCCACATAAACCACTTTCTATCTCCTGCAACAGGAACTATTTAACAGATCAGCAGTCTAAATTCCTCCATATCCTTTACTTTAACCAACACCAAACATCAAATGATGAGTAAATGCTTTTCCTTATACTTTATACATAAAAACACAAAGTTCAGGAAAATGTACATACTTAAAATATAATTCACAAATAGAAAGACCAATGACTAAAACAAAGTATATGATACAAGATAATTGGATCAAGCTCCATGCCATTTTAGCTATAAATTGAATTACTTGAGAATCTAAAAGCCCAACTTCATTGGAATGAAACATTACAAGCTTACTTCACTCTACATAACAATCTTCAATTTCAATAATTAGTCACCAAATGCCATGAAAACTTAAATTCAAATAAGTATTTTATTTTTGTTTATTGGCTGAACAGTGAAATACTGTAACAAATTGTAATCTCCTTATTATATACACAAAAAATTATATACACAAAAAATTGTGCATGAGTGAATACAGAATACATTACCTTTAAAAAGCAGCACTTTGTTATACTTCAAATTTTCAATTCAATTTTACTAGGTTGCTAGTGTCCTTTCCAGAATATAAAAAACTAAGCATCTTTTTTTTTTTTTTTCTTACCTTGGTATTGTGCTGAAGCATTCCTCAGCTGGCCAAATAATCACCTCAGTGACATAGTATTTAACAGTATCTAAAATGAAAAACACCTTTAAAGAACCAAGACTTCTTTTTACAAATAGACTGTAAGTCACAGTATCATTATATTTAATTACACTATAATTAGTTTCTTGTTCCGCAGTCAGTTAGGACGTGCAGCATGTGATCAAATTCCTGCCTGGGTCTGTGGGAGAAGTTCTGATAAAAGAAAACATTGCTAGAATGCTGCTCTGAAATAATTACACAATCAGCAGTTTATCATTTCAATTGATCCCTGTTTAACAGTAGGAACAATCACCTTGAAATAAAGTATGCAAGAACCCAAACACCTGGACTGAAATGTCTTATATACTGATGTTTGCTGGTGTCAATTAACTCCTGTCCACTATGCACTGCTATCAAGACAAACCTGTAAGACACAGTGAAAAAAAACTTTCCTAAATTACTGAAATCAGCATAGCTTACATAGTATTTTAGTACTCTCTGCTGCTCAGTAATGCTGCAGTGAACCACAAGAGTTTTAGTAACATTACACACGGGAATAATTTTCTTCTTTGCTCAAAGAGGCAGGGTAGAATCTCTTTCCAAAAACTGCACTAACATAACGTTAATATATGAAACACACATTCCAGGTTCCAATGCGTTTCCAAAAAGCTCCAGTAAGACATTCTTTTAACACCAAATGGAAGTGTTTTGAGTTCAGAATTTAGTCTTCATCAAGAACGTCAAAAACTATCACACTGAAGCTCCAATTCTAGGCTACACACACAGCCTAACCAATCAGCAAGCAGAAAAAGTTACACATACAAAGAAATTAATTCCACTAAGCCTTAACATATGAGCAATAGTAAAGATTCGTCAGTTCCATAAATTTAAAGAGTAGAATGGATTGCATCATTTGACAGCTGTCCAGACACACCAAAAAAATCAGATGAAAATAAGCTTCTCTGCTCACAGCAAGGAAATTGGAACCAGACAGTCTTTAAGGTCCCTCCTAACCCAATCCATTCTATGATTCTCAGTGAGACACTTAATCCTGCTTTAACGACTCTAATGGCTTGGCAACTCCACCCCTTGTCTAGATAAGTATTATAGTTTATTTAATCATCCTCACTGTTAAGAAATTATATGTTACCTCTGAGCTAATTCTTGTCTGCTCCATGCCGTGCCTGTCCAAGAAGGCTTACCCTAAGCAAGGAATAGGTTCCACTGCTGCAAAAGGCACTGGGAATTGAGAAGATGTTTGTCTGCAGAAATAGAAGGTGGGAATTCCCCCCCCCCCCACCACCACAAAAAAGCCTATGCATATATGGGAATAGAGGTGGGGAAAAGAACAGATTTGTGTCTGTCCTTTGAATTCTCCATAAAGTTCCTACAGTGCTGATGAAATATGCTGAAAACAACGAACAAGCTTTCTAACTCCACCAAAATATAGAGTCCAGAACAATTCCCTGCACGTCTACACTGTTTACTGTTTCCTATACCAACGATATCAACTATAGGCTGCTAGAGTTGTCTGAAGGCTTAGATGAGGGCATTAATTCGTGAGGATCTATAAAGATCTTTTCTAGTCCCTGATTTTGCAAAGTCTTACATCTTGCTTTGTAGGATTTCAAATGCCTTACCTTAAAAGTACTTTTCTTAGTGCTTGTATTTTTTAGATCTCTGTACAGAATAATCAAATTTCTGTCTTCTATCTCCTCATGACTTATTTCTGAAACAGGCTTTGCATTTCCTGCTACATTTTTATATTCTCTGAACTGAGATGGACTCGCACATCTGCAGTAGAGCAGAGGGAGAACGAAAGAAAAAATCCTGCTAGAAACAGTCTTATCACTGCTTATCTCTCTATTAAAAATGGCATTTTGAAGAACATCTGAATACTTCAGGTAAACCCTAAATACTCAATGTCACAACAGCTTTCAGAAAACCAAGAATCTCACAATTTCATCATCAAATGATGAGAGACTTCCTTTCCATGAAACCAGACTTGTTGTTAGCACTAATAGTTAACAAAGCACTAGAAGCTTAACATAAGTTAAGAATTAACCTTTCCATCATTCCATATGATTGACAACAAAAGAAACGATCTGCAAATTTTCAGGTCTCCTGTTTGACTGGGATTCCTACTAAACTGGAACCATGCTTCCCGTCTTTCAAAGCTTTAGAATTAACCAAATACGCCACAAAAACCAAAACAAGGAGCATCCCTGCAGTAAGTCAGTAGCTCAAGGTCTCATAGAGAGAGCAATTCCAGAAGGGAATGACACAAATACACTGGCACTAGCATTACATTTTTTCTGATAAACAACATTCCTCTGGAGTTTTCAACCTCTGATGCTCGTTAGCTGATGCAGGCAAGTATAGTTAAGATTGCACATGCAATACCTGATGATACTGTTTCTCCCAGCGTTGTCTTGCAGCGCTCACAAATTACTCTGGTATTTTCCTTTGATTTCTGTAGGACAAAGAAAAAAAGTTATTTAAATGCTGCTCAGTTATTCTGAAAAAGAACTGTATAATTTTAACGTACTCCCAGGAATGTATAGTGAACTTTGTACTTTGTTCCCTTTATGTTCACATATACAAAGATGTGCATTTACTACTTCAGTCTTTTACACTTCGACATACTTTCAAGTTTCATACCAATTTTTACATCTGGCAGTATTACCAATCACATAGGACAACCTGCATCAGATAACAAGAGAATCTCATAATATTCAGTGACCGTATGATAAAATGATGAGGTAAATTCAGTTTGATAACGGCAAAGTAATGCACACAAGAACTATTCCTAATGTATATATACAAAATATTACTCTGTAAAGTGACTACCTGTTACAGTCAGAAAGATTAGTGCAGTGGAAAGGCAATACAGAAGTGGAATGGCAAAAGAGACAAACAGGAAAGGAATCCTCACCCATCTCTGAGGATCTAGGCTCATGGGGAAAAAATCCACAAGGGAGGGACCTCCAACCAGAGACCCTTCCCCAGAGGCAGTCAGCCCTTAAACTGGGGGGGGGGGGGGGGAGGGGGAGTGTGATATAAGAGAGGTGTAGCCAGGCTTCATCCCTTCCAGTCACACAGCTGAGTTGCCTTCACCTGTGCTCCCAGGGCTGACTTGGTCCTTTCCCCAGGGGATCATTATGTGGTTCAGGCTGTGACTTAACAGCTCCCATACACTACCATCACTCAGTAGAAAGTTTTAGCCACTGTAGACAGGATTGTAGGAATAGCCAGTTTAATGTTCAGCAGAGTAGAAAAGGTTTATAGAGTATGCAGAATTACTAGGAAGGAACTTCAGAACACAATGTATTATGGTATTTCAGAAAGGCAATGTGGATTCAGCTCTATTCTATTAATTCCAGCATTCATATTTAAACTCATTATCAGTAGATGGATACAAGTAAGCACAACTCTACTTGAACACAAAATATAAACTCCAGAATTGGTTCTATGTCAGGTTATGAGCCTGGCTGTAGCACAATACAACTCTGATCTGGAAGTAACATGTGTAGCCAAACACAATGATGTTCCTGAGTTAAAAAAACCTCTCTGGAACTAAAAATTCTGGAAACTAATGAGACAACCTCTAAATTGTCTTTGTACAAATACTTTCATAATTGTTAACTCAATACACAGTGCATAAAAATACCAACTAGTAGTTAAACAACTACTGCCTTACAGGCTTCGTAAAGTCGAAACAAGCCACAACCAACTTAAGAAATCATACCATAGGATTTGCCTACATAAGACTGTCTAAATTTAGAGCAAATTAAATTAGAGTATTTCCACTCTGCATTTATCTTTTTCTGCAGCTTAAGAGATGCGAGATGCCTACAGTTCCCATACATTTCACCTGGAGAGAATACACACACACCTCTTGGGAAGTATGGTTTATATTCATCGCCACCACTATAGTTCTCTAATTTTAAAATGTGTGATGCAAGACAGTTCTCATGGACTACTGTCCAGAACACAAATTTGGAACTTGAGGCCCATCACATTACACAATTAAAAAAAAAAAAAAAGAGTTGTATAAAATACATCCTATAGTCTTAGGTACACTTTTCATTTTCTGAAGGAAGACGCTGAGGTATGTCTGTTACAGATTGTCTTCAGAACCTAGATGACAGGCTTATGATTATGAAGATATCCAAGCCTAATTATCCTTGTCACCATTAAATAATACATTATTATTTGATCCATTCTGATTCAGGAGCCATGGAAGAGGTGAAGGAGGAGACCACAGATGACTAAAATACATACATTGGGCCAATTTTTTTAGCAGGTACCTCTTGCTACAATGACAGGGAAAGTTACACATGGAAGACAAACGAATTATAAGTATCAGTCTAGATCATGAAGTTACACTTAGTCCAAAGCACGTGCTCAAGCAGCAAATGGCAGCAAAAATTAAAAGAATTTAGATGATAGTAACTAGCTAAACATGAGTTACTAATGAGATGCTGCAGAAGAAAGAGAAAAAATGATTTCTGAATGTATAAGCAATTGAATCGTTGATAAGGACTGTAATGTTATAATGCAGTGGAAAGCACAGCAACAACGGCAGTGCAGCAAAGTCCTACACAGCAAATGAGGACAATCCACATACAGCAGCCATAGAAAGAGAAATGAAGAAAGAAAAACTGCTTACCTTTAGAAGACCTCAGGTAAGCAGGGATCTCCAGTGAGATACCCTCACCTCCACTGCTAGCCCTTATATGAGGTCTCAGAACAGGTGGATCCTGGCTCCACCCCTTCTGGTTACTCAGGTGCATTGCATGCACCTGATCACCCCTGGGTTGACCCTGCCTTCCTAACAGGTGCTCAATCACTGCTTCAGGACATGACTTAGCATTTCCACTACAAGGGTAATATAGAGAATTTAATTCTTCAGAATTAGTACCATGATTATTGCTAAAATGCACCTATAGGGAGTGTTAAAAATAATTGGAAAACTTACAAAAATATTTTCCAGCAAATAAATAGTCAGGAAAAGTGATACAGAGTTACAATTCTTAATGTGTTTAATAAGTAGGCAGCAAGGATTCAGGTTGATTAATCACTGAAACAGTTTACCAAAGAATGATAAAGTTGCCCTCATTTGACTATTAAATCAGTACTTGACATCTTTCTCAAAGTCACGCTATAGCTCAAACAGAAATCAAGGATTTGATGCTGGGAATGTCTAGCAAGAGTTCTCTGATCTGTATTATGCAAATACTAAAATGTACTAAAACAGAAAGGACTGTTCTAGCTCCCCAAAAGCAAGGAAGTGGCCCACAGAATCTGAACTCATGATGATAAAGTCCTGATTCTCTGCACTCTCTATTAAGCTCTAAACAGACTGCAATAGCAAATTCCCCCTCCTCATAAACTAGGAGTCCAAATAAAGTTCAAGGGAGAGCCCTACAGCCTCCGTGAAAGCTTCAAAGAGCTATGTCAGAAGTGCAGCCCCCTTGTTACAAAGATCACAGAAAACATCATTTATATTTACAGAGTTATTCCCTTTCCTAATTCCTGCTCTTAAACATATACAGAAAAATTGCTTAACATGAAGAGCAAAGCTAAGGAAACTGTCCTTTGTGAGAAAGAGTATTGAGGATGGTAGAAAAACTGCACAGTAAACTGTATATAGAAGCACTTATTTGAAAGCTACAACTCAGATGTTTTTTCCTGACTATGGTTACAGGTAGCTGAGAACCATACAGTACTGTACCTATAAACCACCACTAACTCACCATATCACGCTTCAACAGCAAAAGCAATACCTTTAGCTAGGCTAATTAAATCAATATATCTATTTGATAACTTGCAGCTACAGGCAACCTGCAGATGGAGGTGGATCACCAGCCCAGTATTTTCTGCTTCTATTCCTAAAGATCCCTGATACGGCATCGGGGAAAAATATTTTCCCCAAGAGATACTATTAGGATGCTGCAGAACCATGTGACATTTAAAAACTATGTTACACTGGAAGAATAATAGATGTGAGAAATATGGAAGGATGCTGTCTTGGTCCCACAGGAGAATGGAAAAGATTGTTTAAGCATATCTAGTATATTCCTGCTACTATTTTGGTCATACGCAAACACTTTCCAAAGAACTGCAATGCAATTAAAAAAGAACTTTCATACTGAGACAAACTGCAATGGTATTCTCTAAAATGAGAACATTTATGCCAATAGCAATCTATCTTGTTTCTACTCCTCTCATATTATGGAAGAATTTTCTGTTTCAGTATGAGAGCTTTTTCCCTTATTAATCCAGCTTCTGCTTGATCTTACAGTTTTCTGCTCATTTGCTTGGCAACTGAGCGATGCTAGAAGTAAGAAAACATGGAAATTGGAATTACTGTAAGCTTGAAAGATGTAGAAAGAGGGAGTTGACACAAACAAGGAAAGAATTCTCAAATTCTAAACAAGAAAGCCAATCTGAAGATTCATCGCACTAAATTAGTATTGTAAGTTTCTGATAGAAAATAGCCTCCTCCCTCATTCAAAGTTATGTTATTATTCTGGTTTGACCCATATCTCAGTAACATTTTTGTTCTGTATCTTTTTTATTATATTTCTGCCTCAAAGGCAACATTTCCCTGTCAAACATTTCTTTGATTGATTTTAAAAGTATGCTGGGCAGATTTCTCCTCTTTCTCTGGGCTGCAATATGAATTCCATAGAGACTGCCTCTTCTCATCTTTGTTGCCATTGTTCCATGATCCTTTTGAGACTACTGAAATGTGAGATAATTAATTTTGGGGACCTCTGACAGAAGGCATTGTCCTCTTGGAAATTTAAAATCTTCTACTTATCCGCCTTCTTAAGAATACTTAGAAGACATAACTTCAATTGTCAAATAACTCCAAGAGCTAATCCAGATTAATCTGCTTCTCTCATGCTGAAATCCTTTCAGGATATCAGTTCTTGTATTCCCTTCCCCAGATTCTGCTTTTCAAAGAACAACAGAACAAGAAACTAGAGAGACCATAGCTTCAGGACTTGCAGATACAGACAGGAGGACAGAACTGTTCTCAAAACAGATGGCTCACTCTGATGCATCACACCATTGGCAACTGATCTGCTGGAATCCTGGTGATTTAAAAAGGAGATAATACAAATCCCATGCAATGGTAAACAGCAGCACTGTATAAGAATCAGAGCCTATCATGTTATTTTTAATAGATGAAGAATTTGGTGCAGGGAATCTGCATATCAGCTGTTAATTACAGACACACAAGGCAGTAACAGTTTCAAAAACTGCTGAAGAACTTCAAACTATTAAGTTTAATATATAGTATGGGACTGATCTGCAGGATCAGTCTTAGCACAAATACAGACAAGCTGTACATTAACGGAAAATATTTTATGGAAATGCAAGCTAAATTACTTGATGCTCTTTTGGTGGCAGAAGTAATTATTGCTCAAACTTTTATGAGTGCTGGATTTCCAAGACAAGTAAAGCAATCTATTTTATTTCCTTGTCTCACTACTGAAATAACAGTAGCAGCCTACAAACACTTTTTTTTTCCTGAGCAACAACAAATTTTGATGTTTCTAAGCCAAATGGTAGCCCTATTCCTTCAGACTCAGCTGATGGATATCTCCTCCTGGAACACTTTACAGAAGTCACCTTCAGCAGTTACAGTCTGGAGTGGCAGATCCTTTTTACCAGACAAAGAGCCCTCAAATGAGCTCAACATTCTTCTTTCATTCTGCCAGCATAAGGGAGCTATATCTGAAACACATTCTGATTTTTTTAAATCTTACTAAAATAAGACAAAAAACAAAACAAAACAAAAAAACCAAACACAAAACCCACACTTTCCTTTGATCATATTTATAGTTATGCGTTCGGTTGTATTTGGAGGAAAAAAAGCACAGCTAGTCTAGTTTTCTCCTTTTGCTTTGTTTCACTGTACCTTGACAAACACCTAACCAATCACAGTTATGATTTCAATAAATGTTGTTGTTCTCCACTGAGAATATTTTTTGGGGAGGAAGGGGGAATACTTGGTTCCAGAACTATATTGTTAAATGATTCATACCCAGGTCAGTGTCATGACATGGTGCATATATTGTCTGGCTTCTGTGCAGCTGAATGCCAACAACCCTCTCTGACCTTCAAAACACCCTTGTAATATTTATAAGTTAAATAAGCCAGTGATAAAAATGTGTTTCACAAGAAAAAAAAAAAATCAAATACATTCCCTTAAGAATTATTAAAACAAACTACTTTACCAAGGTAGAGTCATTCTGAGAAGTGTGATGTTCAGTCTCTGAGCTGCACTTGAGAGATTCAGGCACATATGATTCATTTCTTGAATTCAACAGGAGAAAAGTCTCTCCAAGAAAACAGTCATCACGCTGAGGGTGTAAAGTGCTTCTTGCAAAGGGATTAGGGTGACAACACCACTCTTCTACTAAAGCATTCCAGTTTTCACTCGGTAGAGGAAGAACTCTGAGAAATTTCCTAACAGAGAAAAAGAAATATTTTTATATATTATTTCCTAAGACACTCTAAGACACTAAGAGACTGGACTCCTTACAAAACAGAAAGAAAAAACTATGGCACTTTCTCCAAAAGGAGGTGCTTGACTCTCTTTTCAGTCAAAGGCATTTTCTTTGGATGAATTCTGAGAAAGCAATGGCCAAGTGATTCCTGCCAAGTTTGTGATCAAGTTTTTCCCACGGGTGAATCTTCAATGATTATACAGCAGAATTTGGCATAACTTCCTTGTAACTAATCACATGGTAAAAATAAAACAGATCTACTCAGACAAGAAAAATATAACAACAGAGATTATGCAGTTATTTTTATTACTTCAAAGTTTCCTTGCACCAAGTTTTAATATATACAAAGAAACAAAGGAAAAACAAAAAAAAACTTGCCACAGAATGCCTTTCAAAGCCTCTCAAAGTCAGATATTAGACTTCGAAACAAAGCTAAATCCTGACAAAAATACCAGAGTGTATATCCATTAAAAAGAAAAAAGGATGAAACAATGCATTCTTAATTTAGATTCAGATTCAAATTTCAAAACACACAGGCAAAACAAACAAACAAAAACAAAAAACCACCAACCAACCCACTAAATCAAATCCTCTTCTCCTGGGCTGCTATATGGATCAAGGTGTCTGCCACAGGCAATACCACACCTTGTGTTCTTTATCCATTTTGTTTTTAACTTCCTTTCTTTGGTTACCCACAGTGACTGAGGATTTTAAAAGCCAAACTTTTGAAGCACTGTTTAAAAGTGTAGAACACCCTCCGATAGCTGGAATAAATACATGTGACTATATGAATGCTGCCTTAATCATTATGCTCAGTAGTCAATACTTTCTGCATGGAGTTCCTATAACCATTCTGTAGTCTCACCACACATGATTTTATTAACAATTTAAAAGCATTGATGAATACTGTCCACATATTTACATTTGCTTTAATCTGTGTTTTTTGCTGCACTGGGAAAAAATTCTGCTTCTTTACCAAAACAACAGACAATAGCTTTAACTGCATGTTCTCCAACAATTTTCTACACGTAGTTTGTCACAATGTTTTGTTATCTGTCTAGTTTCTTCGAGTGTTTTATTTTTGCTCTCATATTTTGTCTGTTCTTACCCAAACTCCTCACACATCATTTCTCGATTCCACTCCTAGTTGAAAACTTGCAAATACAATCTCACTTTGGAAATCATCAGAGAACTAATGAGACAGCAATTAGACATCCTCCTTTTCTTGCATTTCAGAGACTGCTCTTTTCTGAAGATGCCTGCTTTCCCATTGCAGTTATTGTGCTTTCTGTTTTTTTGACTTAGTCAAAGTAAAACTTTGTATACAGTCTTCCTTCTTTCTCCATCTGCAATACATTTCAAACTGCGTTTGCCCCATCTGCAGATGGAACTTGGAATAACTGGTATTCCTGCTCAGCTTTAGCATTATGAGTAACATCACCTTCTGGCACTATGCATCCCTGACTTCACTCTTTGTAGTCCTTTGTATCAGCAGAGATATTATCATGGTTCAGATGGAGGTCTAAAGACTGATTATTCTTCCCAGTCTTACACAGTTAGTGCTAACACCTGGACTAACACTGAAAAAGGTTTTCATTCCCTTATACCATTCCTCATATTACAGCAACAAAAAGTTGGTATTGCAAGCAATACTTTTTAAAGTGTTGAAGAAGAAAAAAAAGATTACCTTAGGCTGCAGATCAGTGCCGTCCAGTTTCTTTACATTACTCTTTCTTTACCCTCATAGCCTGGAGCTTTGTGAATTGCATTAAGATCCTGAATTCTTGCCAAACAAAAAGCAGTTACTCCAATCAGTGAGAAGTTCCTTAACAGGTTCCTCCCAGCTATGCTATACAGAAAATACAGCTTTTCCACTTTATTTTAGGCTTTCACCATTCAGAGTTGAGAAGCCTTATTCTAGATCCTGACTCTAGAACTGGAAAAATGTTAACACTTACTTGAAATTAGCTTTCCAGGAAACAACAACAATAAAAACAGAAGCCTGAAGTCTACCAGGTACTGATTCTCTTAAAGCTGCTAAATACAATAATAAAATTCACCCAGTAAATAAAACTTATAACCTTGATAACTAATAACTAAGTTTCTACTTTACGGTAGTTATATAGCCAGAGAGAAATTAAGAGACACAATCCCCTTCTGAAAGCATCTAATAAACCTAAACCTCCCTTCAGAGATAGCTCTGTCTCCAAACAGGAAGTCTAGGTACTTAAGTTTTAAAAAGCCAAAAGTTTGGCACTAATCTAAGACAACTGCAGTAATGGGCTTCCTTGCTAAGGTGAGGATTTGGCCATAGAGATTCTTGTAAAACAGTATAAACATTCTTTATCATAATTATTAATTCATATTTCAGCAGCTAATCACATCATCCTATTTATTGAAAATGCCTTAAACAAAAAGAAAAACAGACAGTAAAAATAAGTATTTAACTCTTCAGTTCTAGAGAGGAAGAAAAGATAGGAGATCCAACTGGATTCCTTTAGGAGCAGCCATCTTTTTGGAAAGACCAGCTTGGCTAGACAGCTGTCAAGCTTAAAGCTACCATTAAATGAAAAGTCTGATTAGAAGACTTCTCCTAAAATCAGTTTTTCAATAAAATACTTGTGTAGTAAAGTAGCTCAGGCTTGGACTAATTAAAACAGTAATTTCTTAATAGTCAATTTATAAATGTTATTTTCTGCAACATTCAGCCTTTCATACATTACAAAGTCTTAGAGAATTATTTTATCTGTGAGCTACACTAACATTGTATTATGTATAACCATAAGGAGAGAAAGAAGAAAATACCCCAAATTCTTTGCAACTCTTAAAATTATGGGAAAAAAAAAATCTAACCACTTCCTCTACTGTGAGGATAATGTGGAAGAAACAGAGAGCATAACCCTTATGCCTAAAGAGCCATCAAGACTCCCACAGGAGACAGACTAATCCAGTGGATCTCAGAAAACACAGAGGGAATAAACTGAGCTGAACTCTCATCCAGTCCACTTCCTTGTCTCAAGAAAGGATTCACAACACTTAAACCGTTCCAGACATACTTTTCTCATCTGCTCTTCAAAGTGATAGAAACTGCAGACTTCCTATCTCTAGTGGTATAAAAAACAAGCTTTAGAGTACGTTTTTTCATTTTAACCTAAAATCCTCTTGCTTCAGCTAAAGACCATAACTACCACTGTTGCAGCAACTATGCACATACCAGGCGACTCTTATGTCTCCTAGGAGACATCGCAACTAAATTCCATTTCTTTCAATTTCTTTGTAAAGATATCCTTTTCTAGGTATCAGATTGATCTTATTACAGACGCTTTTCAAACAATACACACTTTATTGAGTTCTCTCTTACACAGTTATTCAACTTCCCTTCAATCCCATCACCTCTGTTGTCATTACCAAGGCCTCTGGACTATGCAGTGAACAACAAACAATTTTTATTTCTGAAAGTACTGTCTTTTTTTGGAAGAACAGGAGTGGTAAAACAGAAACTGCTGGACACACTGACAGCTCCAACCTTCTATCCTTACCTGAGTCAATATTATTTAGAGATAACATTCAAGGGGGTCAGAGGTCTTCTGCAAGGAGAAATGTTTTATGTGTGATGTATTATCATGTCTTTTTTTTCCTTCGTAAAAATTCAAATTACATTACACTGTAGGATGTGGAACCAAAATATGTAAATTCCACACATAAGAATTTGGTGTGCTGAAATTCAGGAAAATACCCACTCCGAGATGAAAATGTAAAAGGCACAAGATCTTTTGAAAGCAAATGCTTCTGACTAGAAATTGTAAGTTTCATTACCCTATAAATGTATCAAAGACTTACTGCTAGACTTTCTGATGAGACATTTCATCGGAGGAAGCCCCAAACCCTCCCTCCTTTATGTTCAGGCCAACCATAAATCTTTATGTATGACAAAAAAAAAAAAAAGACATTTACTGATTTACATTTGCATTACCATTTTGAGTATTAGGAGTGACACAGATCATAAAAGGCTGCAAGTGTGTCTCTAACACTTTATACATATCCAGCTGAAGCTGTCGAAATTCTTCATCACAAGATCCAGAAAATGCAGCAGCTTTTTATTAAAATTCTCATTCACTCTGCAGACTACCTGGACTTCTGCAAGGCTTTTGACAAGGTCCCACGAAACATTCTTATTTCCAAATTGGAGATATGGGTTCAAACAGTGGACTAGACAAGGAACTTGCTAGAAAGCTGCAGCCAGAGGGTTGTGGTCAATGGCTCTATGTCCAGGTAGAGGTCAGTCAAAAGTCATGTCCCTCAGTGGGTCCATCTTGGCACCAGTAATCTTTAACATCTTTATCAGTGACATAAATAATGAGACTGAGCAAGTTTGTGGGTTGCACCTAGCTCAGAGACGCAGTTGTTACAACAGATGGGACAAATGCCATCCAAAGGGACCTGAAGAAATTTGAAAGGTGGGCCCATGTGAACTTAATGAGGTTCAATAAGGCCAAGCGCAAGATGCTGTACTTGGGTTGGGGCAATCCTAAATATCTATAAAGACTGAAAGAACTCATTGAGAGCAGCCCTGTGGAGAAGGACTTTGGAGTCCTAGTAGATGAAAACTTACCATGAGACAGTACAGTGTGCTTGTAGCCTGGAAGGCCAACAGTATCCTGAGATACATCAAAGGGAGGGTGGCCAGGAGACTGAAGGAAATGATTGTCCCTCTTTATTCTGCCCCATTTGGAGTACTGTGACCAGACCTGGGACCCCAGTACAGGAAGAATGTAGAACTGATCCAGAGGAGCACCAGAAGGATGATAAAAGGGCTGGATCACCATCCAGTGAAGAAAGGCTGAAGGATCTGCACTGTTTTAGCTTGGAGGAGAGAAGGCTCCAGGGAGACCTCACTGTGGCCTTCCAGTACTTGAAGGGAGCTTATAAGGAGAAGGAAAACCAACTTTTTACATGGATAGATATTAACAGGACAAGAAGGGACAGTTTTCAATGATAAGAGGAGAGATTTAGAGTAGATGCTCAAGAGAAGTTTTTCACTAAGGGGGTGGTGAGGCACCAGCACAGGCAGCCCAAAGAGGTTGTGAATACCTCATTGCAATGCAACAATGCACAGCAACAACAGCGGAACAGCAAAGTCCTATGCTACAGCAAGTGAGAATAAGCCTAAATGCAGCAGCCACAGACACAAATGAAAAAAATATGCTTACCTTTAGAAGGACTCAAGTAGGCAGGGATCTCCAGTGAGACACCCTCACCTCCACTGCCAACCCTTAAATGAGGTCTGGGAGGGGGAGGTCAATCCTGGCTCCACTCCTTCCGGTCGCTCAGATACATTGCATGCACCTGAGCTCCTCTGGGTTGGTCCTGTCTTCCCACCCATTTCAAGCTATAACTTAGCATTTCCTCTACACTCATTCCTGAAGATGTTTAATGACAGACTGGATGGAGACCTGAGCAGCCCGATCTATCAGCTGATTCAGTGGCTAGCAGCCCTGTCTTGGGAGGGGAGTTTGAACTAGATGATCTTTGAGATCCTTTCCAACCCAAGACATTCTATGATTCATTCATTCTGTATTTGTAAGGAGTAGAGAAGGTCAAGTCATACAGCTAAGAAACAGCTCCTGTACTTCCCAAATTCAACATTTCCAAAGTAATGTGGAAGCCAGCTTTGCTTAAAAAGATAGAAGAGAGCTGCTCACAACACCTCCATCCTGGCCAGCTACTCTATAACAACAGCACAGTGACTGAAGAAAATTCATAACAGAGTGGGCAGAATTGAAAAGGATCTCTCAAAGTACACAAGAAGAAAGAAGTCTAGGTTACAGTTTTCAGAGAATTGTTTTGAGTTGGAAGGGACCATTAAAGGTCATGTAGGCCAACTTCTCTGCAATGAACAGAGTCCCTTAGATACACCAGAGCTGTCAGCTAAATATAGGCTATGAGCATTTTCAAAACAATGAAAATTAAAAATGTGTTGAACTTTTTATTTGCAATATTTGCAATTCAAAATATTTCAGTGTTTTGTTTTTATGCACAGCAAAGTCCAGACACAAAAAGAAATGTCTCATTTGAGGCACTGCAGACAACCAAGAAAAGAATTCAGATTTCCCACCTTGCAGGGCAATGTACCATATGCTGTTAGTTAGCTATTTCTACCTTCTAAGCCAAAATGAATAAATAAATAAAAGTTCTTTCAGATAATTTTGATTTTAGTCATCTGTAGAAGTGTTTCAAGGTATTCTCAACTAACAAGTTCAAAATCAATATCTTTTAACTACCTAATTAGAAAAAATAATACAAACACCAATCAGTATGGCAGTTACTGGCATAAGTGCAAGACACTGCAGTGCTTACCGTTCTTTTACTATGACGCCACCACAGGACTGGCAGTAAAAGATGTAATTCTTCTGTGGTTTCAGGCTTTCCCTCAGATTATAAACCAATTCTAGAAACAAGAGAAGACAGTAAACTTCAAGGTTGGGCAAAGTTTTCACTCGTAAAAAATCTTTCCAAGAACACCACTCTTAAGCAAGATAAGAATATAAGAAACAAAGCAAAACATTCTAAACACAACCTGAATTTATTTACCTGTAGAAACAAGTAATGAGATTTTGGATAAACTTGCCACCTCCACCTCATGCTCCATGCTGCAGGACATGCGACTAATTATTTTTATTGTGTGTACTCTCTCAGTTGGAGGAGCTGAGTATCATTACAGAGATTGTACAAATTAAAATTCAATGCTTCTCTAGTGTAATAATCATAGAAGCATAGAATGGCCTGGGTTGAAAAGGACCATAATGATCATCTAATTTCAACCCCCTGCTATGTGCAGAGTCACCAACCACCAGACCAGGCTGCCCAGAGCCACATCCAGACTGGCCTACTAGTGAGTGTCTCTACGGTACGATGGTACTTCCCAATACGCAACA